TCTTGAATGGATACCTTTTGAAAAATTTGAAAATGTTACCTATCTTACCAGGGGTGGTTTTAGTAAAATTTATTCGGCTGACTGGCCTGAAGGAAATATTGAATATTGGGATATTGAAAATCAAAAATGGCACCTAACACCTCCAAATGTAAAAGTTGTATTAAAAAGTTTAGATAATTCATCTAATATGAATGATGATTTTTTGAATGAGGTAATTAAATAATATTGCTTTAATTTGTATTTATGTATTAATACATATTTGTAAACAGATTTCTCTTTAAATTAGATTAAATATTATATTTCAAGTCATTTTTCTTGTGTTAATACCGTCATATGTTATGGAATAACTCAAGATCCAGACACCCAAAATTATATGATGGTTTTACAATATTATAAGAATGGAGATTTGAGAAATAATTTAATGAATGATTTAGAATATGGAAATAAAATTCGATATTTATTTACGATCATAGATGGCCTTTTAGCTATTCACAACACTGGAAAAGTTCATAAAGATTTTCATTCAGGAAATGTATTATTAGATGGTAACGTCCTAGCTATTAGTGATTTAGGAATGTGTCAACCAGCAGATGATAATGAGCGAAAAGGAGTTTTTGGGGTAATACCTGTCTCTTATACACATCTAGATGTGTATAAGAGACAGAGACATACCATCATGATGTCTAAATATTATATTTCATGATGTTTGGACATCAACCTTTTGTCAAGGACGGCTTTCCATAGAGATTTAAGTAAATATTTACCTTTTTTTATAGTTTTTTACTTAATAAAAAATTACCCTAATTGTAAAAAGTCTAATTTTGGTTTTTTTTTTGATATCTTTGTCTGTTTCTTCATAATTTGAATTCCGAATTACCTTTCTTTTACAAAAATTTTTTTATATTGTATAGAAACTTGCAATTAATTATATTCGCTAAAACGAAATAATTATTAAAACAATAATCGTTATTTTTTTTTATTAAAATTATTTATAAATGGATACATCAAAACAAAATATAAATACTACCGAAAATACAATAGAAAATAATTCTAAAACTGGTGCTAAAAATTTATGGAAAGGATGGGATAGAAAATATCAGGTAAATTCATTATCATAAATAATAATGAATAATATAAAATTTTATTAAAAAATCTTTTTTTTTTATCATTTATTTAATAGTTTCACGCTACAATTTTTTCCATTGGTTCAACTAGTACTGAATCAGATGAAACTAACTTTCTTTTTAAAAAAATAAATATTATGGATTTAGAAAAAAGAAAAGAAGTTTACGGAGTGTGTGGAGAATGTAATGAACCAGGTACAGGAGATACATGGTGTCAACCTTGTAAAGGTTAAATCCTGTCTCTTATACACATCTAGATGTGTATAAGAGACAGCCTCAGATGTGCAAATGTATCGTTCTTATACGATCAGGTGCTATGTTCGTATATGTCACATAATATAGGTCGTATAAGATAGTATGTCGTACACGTATAAGAAAGATACATTTGCAATTTTATCACTTTATATTCTTTAATC